AATTAAAAAGAAGACAGAAAAAAATGTATTATAAATTTAATGGACTTAGGCTTTAGTAGGAGAACTAACTCTTGTAACCTATGAAATTAACTTGACAGTCAAATCAAATGGTCATTCATTTAAGGTTGCTTAGCGACAATAAACCTTTATTTGAGCCCCATTTTGAGGGAAATAATGAATTTTTGAATAGTGTATTGATGGAAAATGTGTGGTTAACAAATAAGATTTTTTTTTTTAATTTGCTTGTAATATTATTTTATTGAAAAATGTGTGATTGAAATGATGTTAAAATACCGTTGAAAATTTTATTTTTTCCCAACTAATGGAGCTCAAACAAGGGCTAAAGTAGAAAATGTACAGTTGTAAAAATTCTTTGGTGGCATGTGTGCGCCTGTGACATGCGAGATACACACTGTAATTTTTTTTTAAACCGGTAAATCACTACCTAACCCAATATTTCAAGCCCTTTTTTTTTTTTTTTTTTGTCATTTTCATTTCAAATCTGAAAAGAAAAGTCCTTTCATTTTTCATGCTCAAATCACGTAAAAATTTGGTTGATTGCACGTTTTACTAAAAGAAAAAAAAAATTGTGTAAAATGTTCGATAATTCATTCGCATTATTTTTGTATTTATATGAATGGATAACTATGATTTTCATTTATTTTTTCAATTTTTAGAAAACCCTTTTCAACAAAATTGAATGCACATTACAATTTGCAGGTCCAACTTTTAGAGTTCGACTTAGTTGTGAAAAATATTAAGTTCGATCCTATTTGTATTTGTATACTTAAACTTGAAAAATATCAATATTACTTTAGTGGCTAAATTTTAAATCCCTTTTCAAGTTATTATTTGCTCAAATCTCATAGAAAAAACATGCAATAGTAACATCAAAAAACTTTATGAAACTAATAAAGAGATCTCATCCTTCCATTTTTCAGGTTTTTTACACACTCCATTAAGGTACTTCTCCAAGAAAGTGACTAACAGAGAAATGTGAAAATTAATTAAATAAGATAACATCGCAAGTTGGGACTTTTGCAGTATTTAACTATTTTCATTGAAAGAATGTGAAAGATTCTAAGCAAAATGAGAATATATATATATATATATTTATTTATTTATTTATTTATTATTATTGTTATTCATAGGCAGAGGCAGATATAGGGGATCCCCCATCAAAAATAAAAGGAAGAAAATTTACATAGATTTTTTTTTTTGGTGTGTGTGTAAGTACTTTTTATGTGTGTATTTCCCCGCAAAAATAGTTGTCAATCCCCTTCCAACTCTAGCTTGTTCACGAGCATGTTTTGTACACGATACTAAATTGGATTAAATTGAATGTTTGACTTGATTTATTATTATTTTTTTTATCAAATACAGTTTAATTTGCTTTATCATACATGTCAAATCTGTCTCAGATTTTTTTCCTCTATGAATGATCAATTTAATATGGCACAACTTGCAAAAGAATTGACTATACAGTTCCCTCTACATTAATCCCCCGTTTGACCCCGTTATTTGATATTTAATTTTTGAAATAATATTCTTTTTTTTCTTTTTCTTTTTTAAAATGTGTGGTAAAAAAAATTTTAAATTTACGTGTAATATTATTTTATTGGAGAATATGTAATTAATAAGAAAAGAAAGAAAAATAGATCATAATTTTAATATATGATCGATAAGAAAGGAGAGAAAAAATAGATTATTAAGCTCCTTCCTAGGGTAATAATAATAATAATAATAATAATAATAATAATAATAATAATAATAATAATAAATAAAGAAATAAATAAATAAATAAAATACACAATTGCATTCTTATGTTCATATATATATGAATTAAATTTATGTTATGATATCTTCAATTCTAGTATTCTTTTGTTTCAACTTGTTTATACATACTTGCTCGATGGACTAACTTAAAAATGTTGAAAATAAAATTTAAATAAATAAATAAAACTTAGATTTCAAATTTTATACCTTTATAAAAATCTCCTAGATCAAGTATTTTTTTGATATAAATAATTAATAATGAACGTAAAATTCTATACTTGTACTAGCTAGCAGGTGTTGAACTCTTTTTTTAAGGTCCCCCCACTAGGAAATTAATGGGCGCTCCACTTATAATTATTAATGAAGGATTAAATACCATTTCATAACATGCCCGACAACATACAATTGGTGTCCCTTTCTCTTGATGATATTATCATGTACCATTTTGCTTGGCCACTTTTGAGAGGAGAAACAAATATGAGGAAATTTTATTCACAATATTAAAGTTTTGATTGAGAAATAAAATGGGAAATAGAATTGACTTAAAAGTAAGAGCAAGTCAATAATTGGAAATTCAAAATTGTCTTCATGGTTTAAAGATAAAATTATTTTAGTTACACATCGATCTCGCCGTAACTAAAATTATGAGAGAAAGAGAGATGTACTTGTTAGGGAACATATTATGAGCCTGTTTGGGAGTGATTTTAAGCATTGATTTTTTCACCATTAGGAGAAAAGTGGGGTCCACCTATGAGAGAAGAAGTCAAATATAACGATTGAAATAGTGAAATAACGATCAAAAAATTAATTTTTTGAAGGAAAAAATCACTTCCAAACAGGCTGTATATATAATCAGTATAAATTATGGAATAGATAAAATTAAGCGATGAATGAGTGAATAATATTTGTGGGTCTTATGAAATTTGTAAATAAAAAGTAAATTTGAATCATTATGCTTATAACTTAAATAAGCGCCAAACAAGGGCCAATAAGATATATTAATTTGAGCTGTCTGATTTTATGAGTTCGGTGCGTAAAAAGAATAACTCTTATAAGATATATATGTACACTAAGTTCACGTCAATACATCATGTCTCAGTTGGCCTTCTATAAAAGTATAGATAATTTGAGCTCCATTAAGCAAGAAAAACTTTAAAAAATAAAAATAAAATAAATTTCTGTTACGTCGTTGAAAGAGGGTCTTTAAAATTTTGCCAAAATAATTCAATTCAAGTGATGTTGTATTAAATGAAACTACTAAGATTAGATTGAGATTATAAATACCTCAAGCTTAAAAAGGAGTACTATATTGAACTACACTTTCTTCTTTAAAAGAAATCAAAATAATTAATATGTCGCGGTAATGGCTCATCACTTTAATTAATTACCTCTTTTTATATTTAAAATCATCAAATAAAGATTAGTATTTAAATTCATATAGAGGACAATAATGAATAGTAACACCTAGAAAAATCATAAATAAGTCTAAAGTACTGCCCAAATGATGATCCTAGCTTGTCATTTGAATCCACCCTTTAGAAAAAATTTTCATTTATCTTTGAGATTGAATTCTTGTCTTTCCCATTTCAGTTTGTACATTTTAATATTGTCACTTAAAGGGCAAAATTATTGCCCCTATACTCAAGACATGGATATCCATGCTGCAAAGAGTTGGACATTCTTGTGGTCTTGTTAACAAGCGATTAAATATACTTTAGTAAGATTATTGCTCATCTGATGAGAAAGAGCTTTTATTTGTCACCATGATTTACTTTATTAAGACCCCGTTTGGTAGCTATTTTCTTGAAAATGCATTTTTTTTCAACCACACATTCTTCATTAAAATAATATTACACGTAAATAAAAACTTATACTTATTTTTTAACCACACATTTCACATCAATTTATTCTTCTAAAATGCATTTTTACATAAAATTTCTTTTCACCAACAATAATGCATTGTGATTTGAACCTAAACTGTCAAATTTTTTGACATGCTGAAAACTATGAAAGCCAATTATTAGGTCATTGACTAAAGTCTAACGAAGTTAACATGGCAGAGCAACTAAAGTTTGGTTTGACAGAGAAATAACTATTTGGAAATATAAATAAATTGTATTATTAGATTGGACTAAATAATATCTTTCACTATAGGTCGATTCAAATTTTAGTGTTTATGCATCAAAACTCGTGTAAGTTTTGTTGGAAAATATTGGTTAAATAGTGACGAACAAAACGCCTTGAAATCAACCCGAAACTTCGGCAAAATAATGGCAAGAACTTGATCAAACTTCTACAGTTTTGGAAGAGTAACGGCGAGGAAACTTCAAATCAAGATGCTAATAATGCATCAAAATGACATCAAACAAACGTAAGTCGAGGCAAATATTGAACACTTTATCCTTAAGTTGAATTTGCCCTGTTATGGTGTCTATGATTTTCCGACAATTGACTCTCAAGATACAACGACTTTCTTCTTGTGTGAGTAGCACTCAACACACAAGAACAGTGTATCAGAAGCAGAATATGTACTCCTTTTATGCAAATGAAGAAAATCAGTATTTTATTCCACAAAGGAGCAAAATATGGTCGAGAGAGAAGAGAGAATAAAATGCTATGATTGCTTATCATTGGTGTATGGAAAAAGACGTCCCAAGTGGCCTATTTATAGAGTATGAAGGGTTGGAGATGAAAGGAAGCAAGCCAAATCTCGCGATCTTTCGAACAAAAGCACCACTTGATGTTGCTAGCTTTTCGCTAGAATCTCGCTTGAGAGAAAAGGCCACTATTCAAGAAGTGACACTGTCGCTCTCTTTTTGCTCGGGTACCCAGTTTTTCATTTTTTTAATTCAATTTTGGACCATAATTTTTCATTCATCTGAAATTGGTTTTATGACTTCAAATATATTAAGATGATCTACTCGACGAGTAGAATAAGTTGGTCTATTTATTTTTATAATTTGACCATCGGATCTAATCTGAATATTTGATCAAAGTTGATACCGAGTTACTTGTTTCAAGTTAATCTTAATCAATTTTTTGATTATTTTGAACCAATTCCATCAAGTTTTAATAACGTGTTGAATCGCTTGAGTCATTTAAGAATTTAAACAGTTAAAAAGCCAAACAATTTATTTTACATATAGTCGACATCAACCCATTATTTTTAATGCCTTAACTTTTTTTTTAGTTAATAAGATTAAAATCAAAAGATGGTATAGTGAAAGTGAAGTGAGGGAGTAAACAAGAAGAGGGTGACCCTTTTCTCATCTCCTTTCATTATCTCATCTCCTGGCTGCTTCTTGGTGTCTGGTCGAAAAAACAGTACCAAAGATTCCATAACCAAATTTGAAACCACGCACAAGCACACAGATCAATATATTCAGCAAGGAAACTTCTCTATCACACACAGAGAAAATGATGGTTCTGAGGGATTAGATTCAATCTTGCTTCTTTAAGGTACTCGTGGATGAAAAAACCCTCAAATTTGAGGGAATAGTTTTGAAAAGAAAACAGAAGGAATTAAGAATTGGTGATGCAGTCCACTGCAGTTTTAGAGTAGAATGAATATAGAATCTTCAAAATCACTATTTTTTCAATCTGTTACTGCTCATGTTATGCATATATGCTGGGTTTCTATAAATATTGTGCTGTTTTTGTGTGTAATAAGCAGGTTCAAGGCTAGAACTGTTTCAAACAAGGTCACGCTGGATAATTTTCCATTGAAGAAGTAATTTTCTTACCTACTTTACTCCTGTTTTTCAATCTGAAAAGGGAGAAAACAGACTCTCCGAAGGCAAAGAATCCCTGAGTTTCATACTGAGAAAATCTTAAATTCCAGGAAAATCCATGTCCCAAAGCTTCCAACAAGATATATACAATATTTCAAATGCATACGAAAGATCTGTGACAGCCAAACAAAGCGATTGGAATAGCGAAAAAGAAATGTTTAGAGTGCAAGATTTTGAGAAAGTGGATTTATCTGGGCAGCCACCAGTGTATGATACCGGAGGGATGCTGACTGAGATCATAAACTTGCCATGGCGAAAACCTTCTAATGAAATTTTGGATGATCAGATGCAGATCCAGTCAAGTTATAATCGATGGCTGCAAAAACAGCAAATTCCTGCAGAAGTTCATGAGGCTGAGGTGAGTGTATTTAGCAAAAAGAAGCATGTAATTATAATAATATTTTATACAACAATTAGGGAAGTGATTTTTCATCAATTTTGGACGCAGCTTCCTTTTATGATTCCACATGTTAAAGCATCTTCTCCTCCTATATCTTCTTCAATCCAGAAGTTACTTCCAAACTCATCAGACTTTTCTCTTCAAGGATTTCCCTTGGTTGATATGGACCTTCCACCTCAATCTACTTGGATAACTAGCAGCAGCGATGGAGATGATACTACCACGAAAATCCGAAGTATGATCGAGGGACAAGGACTTTCTTTATCATTGTCTTCGTGGAGGAAGTTCGAGGATTTAAGGATGGAAAATGGTGGGATTTACTTCCATAATCAAGGAATAGGAACTTATTCAAGTAATCCTTATGATCTAAAGAATCTTGGGCTTAATCTGCCACGGGATCAAATTCATTTTGGATATACAGCATCTCCAAGAATAATAAATGACTTGAAGAATTCTAAATATTTGAGATCTGCTCAAGAATTGTTGGAAGAATTCTGCTCTGTTGGGAGAGGGCAATTCAAGAATCAAAAAGTGAAAAAGCAAGATAGAAACCCTAATTCTCTTTTGAATTTTGGCAGCCGGGGTGGTGCTGGGGCCTCATCCTCGAAGGAGCGCCACCCTTTATCTCAAGCAGGAAGGGCTGACTACCAGAGGAAAAAAGTCAAGCTATTATCAATGCTTGATGAGGTCTCTCTCTCTCTCTCTCTGTCTGCAATCACACAGTACGTCTCTCTCTCTCTCTCTCTCTCTCTCTCTCTCTCTGCAATCACACAGTACGCCAAATCACAGTAGGAAGAAATTATGTCAATTATATTATAGGCAAAGAATTAGGTGCATCTGTTTTTTTTCTTTCTTTATACAGTCGAATTTACCTAGACAAACTTGCTATATAAGAATTATATTAACTATTCTGTTTGTTTTTGTAATCAATATGAAGCCAGCTAATGACATGAATATCCTACCAAACTGAAAACAAAATTTATCATTTCTTTACCGACTATTAAGTATAATATTTTCATTAATTATTCTCAGCCATGTTTATGCTGACAGACTTCTGATAAGGGTACATGTCGTTTGAAGAACGACATGCCTCCTGTAGAGGTTGAAGAACATCTTTAATTAATTAACAAATTCTTCTGCTTAAGAAAACTTATTTCCCTTCTGCTTAACTTGGGGACCATCATTTTTAAACCTTTTTAATCTTGAATTGTTTTAAATAATTCATAGTGGTGAATCATTGGAAGCTAGAAGACATCAAATACTCCAATAATAAAGAATTTGTAGTGGCAAGCTTTGGTTAAAGGAAGAAATGACCTGCATAAAACTACTCTCCTAGAAGTACTATTTGGGAACTTTAAATCATTTCTTCACCTGCATTATATTCAAGCTCAATTAATAATTACATCCTTTTGCATTTCCTCTTCGTAGATTCCTAATGTTTGCTTTAAGGAACTGACATGTTAATAAATTAGTGCATAACAATATAGTACTGTCTCAACTTTAGTTCTCCCTTCCTTTGCCGGAAAAGTATAGTACATTGCAGAAATTAATGTTCTTAATTAAAAGCTTAACTTTGTGCTGGTCATGTTCATTGAACTTAATCATTAGACCTTTTGCATCATGAGTTAGTAAATATGCTATTTGTAATTTTCCAATGTAACAAGTGTTGAACTTTCTAGACAAGATAGTTGGACATAATATCATAGTACGCAGACGCGAGTCTTGAGTCCAATTCTCGTTGTGCTTTTTTAGTTTAAATTATGTACATGGTGGAGCGTGTTTAGCTCACATATAGTTTAAACTTATAGACGAGGCGTGGGTCAACTAATATGATATATTTTTGTTTATTTGTGGGAACAGATAGATGGAAGATACACACAATACTGTGAACAAATGCGAGCAATGTTGAATTCCTTTGACTTGGTAATTGGAAATGGGGCAGCAGCGCCATACACAGTACTAGCCCATAAGGAAATGTCTCGGCATATCCGGCGAACAAAGGATGCAATAATTGAGCAGCTTAAGCAGACTTGTGAGATTCTTGGGGAAAGTGATGTTACAATTAGTACTGGGTTGACAAAGGCAGAGACCCCAAAGCTTAAGCTGCTTGAACAAAAGTTCAGACAGCAAAAATCCCTTCATCACATGGGAATGCTGGATCCTGAAGCCTGGAGGCCCCAGAGAGGATTGCCTGAACGTTCTATTAACATTTTGAGAGCCTGGCTTTTCGAGCATTTTCTCAATCCGTACTCTCTCTCCTTCTCTCTCAGATTCACATTCTTTTGTTTAAAGAATTTTAAAGTTTTCCGCGTCTGTGACCATTTAAACTTTTAGACGCGCTTGTTCAACATGTTACGAAACATATTTATGAAATTTTTTGCATATATCCTTCATTTGATGAGATAATTTGTTCCCGCTTTAATAATTTAAGCTAACTAATTATATAAATGCTAGCTTACAAACCTACACACACACATAAACTCGTACTTTTATTTGTGGTTTCAAAAATAAATCCTATTCTGTTTGTGGTAGTTGGCCTGTTTATCACTCCCATGCAAAAATTCAATTAATGTAATGATATGGGATTTCAATCTGTTTTGGTTTCAGGTATCCAAGTGAAGCAGACAAGCTTTTGTTGTCAAGGCAGACTGGTTTATCCAAAACTCAGGTACTCGTTGCATCTTTTCGTATCAAAATTGATACGTCATATCTCTTGAAAGGGAAACTGAAAATAACTTTGCTACACAACGAACTTCTGCCATTTTTTTATTTTTTATTTTTTTTTAGTATTTTACTTTCCTGGGGAATAATAAACTTTTCCCCAGAGGGATTAGAAAATGAAGGCAGTTGCTTTTGGATGCTTTTAATCAAGTATTCAATTTATGACTTCATTTTTTGCTAATAATTTGGATGATATTGCAATTTATAATGTAGTTGCATGCTTAGATTGAGAAATGAATATGTGGTGATTAAGATACATGAACCCCTAACAATTTAGAAAATTAGGGGAAAACATAGAGTCGAGGTAAGAGAGTAAGAGTAATTGACAAATAAGTTTTGCTTGAGAAAGAAAATAAATAAATTTCGTTGAACAATCTTTTCCGAAGATTAGACCCTCTATAAAATTAGTTGTACATTTTGGGTATAAGGATAAGTAATTGCATTTTTTTTTCCTTTTCAATATAGTGATAAAATATATGATAAGTATTGCGATCAATGATTATAATCCATTAAGTTCTTAAAATTGGCCAACATGACCAACAAGAAGATCTTTCATTAGTACAAAAATGATTCAGCAGGCTCTTACTTTAGTACAATCATCTTGTTTAATAAGATATAAAGTATTTTTTTGTGATCACATGTGACTTTAGAGCGAATTATCATGAGGGTGATAATTTTATATGTATATGGATATATTTGTCTGTCTGATAATGCTAGTGTGACTTCAAAATATTTCTAGGAGAATAGAAATAAAATTGAAATTGTGTGTTTTCATATTATTTGAACACTACTCGAGTGATTTCATTCTAGTGATCTCATCATATTCATATAAAGTCAAAAATACGTTTTTTTTTTTTTTTTTTGCATTGTTATAAAAATTCTTACAATTTTCGGCATTTACGTCGTTGACAAATTTCCTCGTAATTATAAAATAAAAAGATAATCAAATTAGAAACTTTATACAATAGTCATATGTATCTGTGTGTATATATAAAGAAATAATATAATGAGCATGGTATTCATCTTATACTAAGCACGGATTACATGTCATATTAATTTATTGGTGAATAAAAAATTTAATTCAAATTTTGAGACCCACTATAATTTTATCCACCAATGAAATAATATGACAAATCACCGATATTTAATTAGCAAAAGATCAACATTGATGCTCATCATTGTTTGAGCATTTCAAATATCTTTGACCAAGTCAA